ACTTTAATATCAAAAAATGACTTCAGAGTTCTGAAGGCAGATTGCTGCTGAAGTTTAGTCAAATGAGCATTTTAGAAGCTTGCTTTCTCGACTGCTTAAAGTAATCCAGTGAGTATCCACAGTAGCAGGATGATATATTTAGGATCAGTGAATGATACCTGACAGTGTCCATGTTCATCATTATCATTAAACATAATTCCCTGTGCAATAGTAAGCCTTACCGATGTGTTTTTAATAGTTTTAAATCTATGGCACAGATGAATAAGCTAAACAAACAGTACTTGTTGCGAGGATAGATTCATTATTGATTTGAGCAATCAGCTACTTTAACAAAAACTTTAAGTAGTTGAGTCTCAATCCATGCTATCTCCATCCTCCAGTGTGAGCAGCTATGAGAAAAACCAAGCCTACTCGACTGAGTGGTCCGATGATGAGCAGCCCGCTTCATACTCTGGCAACGAGAACGGAGGGAACGGAGGGAACGGTAATTCATTCGAAGAGGACTCCAGCACTCCAGGGAAAGGGGTCCGTGTGCGCGCTCTGTACGATTATGATGGACAGGAACAGGACGAGCTCACCTTCAAAGCAGGTAAGAAACAGTGACAGATGACACAGGATGAATTCATTTGTCTACCATCAGACAGCTAGATTTGTGTTTACTCATTTGTTTTTTAAAGTATGTGAAGGTTTAGCACACTTAAGGCTGTAGTCTACACTTCAGTCGTCACAATGGGGGTGAAAAGTCACCAGATCTGCTCTGATTTGGATCCAAAGCTTCCCTTCCACAATGGTCAATAGTAGTGGTTAGTCCATAATAGCCATGTGGAAAAACAAATTACAGGCCCTCGCCATCAATTAAAGGATGAACAACTTAGGGACGGGCTGAAAAATAACGTCACAGCTGCGCATCTTCGTCTTTGTTCCTCAACTGCACATCCAGATTCTATTTCTTAACAAACAGATGGAGATATGTGGTTTTTAAATGACCTCAGGAGCTTCTGGTAATGATTAAAGTTGGCTTGAATGGATTTTGGTACATGCATGCAAATTCTATAGGTTGTCCTTCAACAGCTTTCGGCTACCAATTAAAGGTGGCATTTGGAGTTTTCCTGCGTAAACAAACAAGGTTTTTATTTACAATCTATAATTACTTCAGAAAATATTTTCTCAGCTGATTTATTAAACATTTTGAAAGCCTTGTTACCTGCAATCGTAGGCGTCTACCTTTCCCTTGCCTTCGGATTGGCTCTTTGGGGCTTTACATAGTGCTTAACTTCTACCTGTGGGTCAGTGGAATAGTGAGGAATCTAGGCAGGAACTGATTTAAGTCTGCTTTGTGTTTGCCCACAAAAAGACAAAGTGTAACACCTCAAAATGTGGTTTCAAGGGCGGCTATTGTTAAATTAATTCTTGGAACACATAAAAAATTGGTGCGCTTTAGAGGTGCTGCTTGGTGGATCTGAATAGAGCCACAAATGATTTAAGTCTTTAGACTATGCTAATATACAGCTATGCTAAAATACAGCTGCTAGCCTAACAGGTATACTATTCTTCTTATTTAACCCTCCCAAAATGTAGTACCTGTCTCTGAGTGGATTATACATGAAAAGTTAAGACTATTACTCCTATGGTTTTTTTGGATCCATATTATCTCTAGGCTCGAGACTCATGACCTTAACAATATCCCAAATCCTTTCCAAAGCACGGTTCCAAAACAGATATTACATCATTTGTTATACAAAAAAAAGATGAAGAGAGCATTTATCAGAAGAAATGTGGAGCATTTTGTACGAGCTATCGTCATTGTCATGTCTCCTTCGCAGGTGACGAGCTGACCAAGACTGAGGACGAAGATGAGCAAGGCTGGTGTAGAGGTCGTTTGGACAGCGGCCAAGAGGGACTGTACCCGGCCAATTATGTCGAGGCGATCTAGTCACATTACTGGACAAGGACGCGCCATTGGAGGCAGCTTGAACTGTCCCGTCCAATCGCACCGCACATAGCCAGAGACTTAAGAGCAACACATCCCTTGCCCAACAGATGCGCTAAGCAGTCTTGCCTAAATAAAAACTTAGTAACCTAAAAGACAATATATCAGTAAAATATATTTTATCCAGCATTTGGGGTGGGTGGACTTACACATTTAAAAACAGGAGCAGCAGTCATACCAGTATATACACACTCAACTATAACATCTGAAGAGTGCAGGAACACATTGCTTCTCTGTGTGGCTCTATTTAAACATATACTGCAGCTTATTTAAACTCGCAGTATACTGCAGTCTGTTCTCTTGTGAAAATGGGAAGATAATATAATCAACTGAACCCATTTGACAAAGACGAGCTTCTTTAACCTGCATTGTGTATATATATGGTGTGATGCCATTTTTGTGTAGCATTTTTAATGCAGTCTGTGGTCAGTCGTCATTCTTACATTGGGAATGCTGTGTAGTGTTAAAAGTACCACGGACAGTATCCTCTACTTTTTCTGTTTGTTTTTTTGTTTTCTTTGTGATTTGGTCCAACCTCTTTTCCAGTGTGTGCAGTGCTATGTGTTTTAACTGTTTCTGAACTTGCATAGCAGCATGTGCTATGCAACAACGTGCATTCCCTGAACCCTGCAGCCTCGCGCAGGCCGCAACTTGATGCAACACTTCCAACTACAAATGCAGAGTTCACTTCTTTAGCATCACAGGCTTCTGCTTTCATGAATGGAAGCTTGATCATGAAGTGATTTTCTGTTAGTTTTGTTTTTGAACATCATTTTTTTGTTTTTAAGCATCACAACTTCACACCTTTGACAATATCATCTCCATGAAACCCATGGAAAGGATATGGAGTTTGTGCACAAGCTTTCATTCTTGGGTCAGTAATTCAGCTCTCATTTTAAATCCACCACTGCTAACAAGAAACACGAGTGGTACTGTTTTGCTCAGAGCAATGTCTGATTAAGTCATCTTCTGGAGGTTGCCACTGCAGTGTAAAAGGCGGGTTTCGAGCAATTCATGTGTTGGGCAATTTTCTTCCAAAGCAAGGGGGCCAATGGAGGCATGTCAATGCGTTACTGTGCTACAGACATTTGTGTGACGATCGAAGCCTCTTGAACAGGACATGAATGTACTAGTGTTTGGGCCTAAAAGAGGACATGTTGTCTAAACATGCTTCTTCAATGTCATTTAAAGCCCTACCTAGCATTTGGTGGCCCGTTTCTCTGCTGAGCCAAAGAATGACCCAACACCATCATCTATCTGTTTTCTCCTTTTCTCTCCATGCAATAACCTCACATATCACATCTAAAACAGCTTCAGTGAAGATCAACTTGCAGCTGCCTCCCAGTCCACCCAGACTTCCATTTGTCTGCAAACACTGCATGATGACACAGGGAATACATTTGTGACCAGTGGTGCACTACCTGTAAGAAGACTCTTACACTGTGCATTACACGGTTATTTTCAAATCTCTAACTCGCTCCACTTAAACTTCAAGCAGGAATCATCAGATCAATAATCAGATATTGATATAACGCTAAGAGTTGCACCTAAATCTCTGATTAGACCAGATAGATGTTTTTTCTAACATAGTTGTCCTGAAGTTTTTTAAATTTCACTGGACCAACTGCAGTCCGATGTGTTTAGCTCTGTGTCTGGAACAGGATTTGACAGGTTTGGGTCTCACACATGAGGAGAAACACATCACCAGCTCACAAGTTGTGTCTTAGAGTAAAGCTGTCCAGCATAGCAAAAAGGACTCCTATCATCAAACTGTCCCACATTATCAATGCGCATATGCACACACACCCACACATGCATTGAACACAGGTTATACACGACACACAAGGTCAAACACATAATCCACATTACCAGGTTAATATTTTGGGGGGTAAGACATCTTCATCCAGTGTGTATGAGTTGTGTAAATGTATCAGAAAAAAAATGTTTAAAAAAAAAAAATGCAAGTGATTGACTATTAAGACAAAATGTAGTGTTATACATGTAAATGTGTTTCATTAAAATAACAGCAATGGAAAACATATTAAGTAATAGGTACCATATCGTATGAATTTCATTGCAATGGAATTGTAAGTGTATCATAAAAGCGTGACGTTATCCCACGCTGTCAGATTTGTATATGATGATGTAATTTAAAGATTATATTCTATTGTAACTGTACAACTGTGTTGAGTTGAAAATGAGACCTGACCATGTTGAGGCAGTAAAAAGGTGTATATGTAAATGCTTTTTTTATGTTGATGATCTCTTCCTTATGCACACAGGGGTCAGCAGCTCATGTTGTGGAATCCCCTTTATTAGCGGTCTAGAAGATGTATGTTCATAGTTAGTGATGTACTTTTATCTCCTAACTGGTGTAGTGCCTGTTCATCTTGATGTAACAAGAAGTTCATTTAAATATGCATAAAGATGATTATGATCACAGATAATAATGAAGATAGTGATGAAAGCCCCGACTCAAATTTGTTGTGATGGTGTCAATAAGATATTGGTCTGAAAGGGAAACAAGTTTGTTGAAAAAAAAAATGGAAGTTAGTGTCTGTGTGTTTATTGGATGTCCTGAAATGATATATATTATACTTTAAGTGAAAGGAAAAGTGGTTATTTCTTACTTTATTGTAGATTTGAAAAAACAAACCCAAAGACAGAAATGTAAAAAGGACTTTCAATCAATCGGCAGGTTTAAAAATATTCACTTACTTTGGCATTGCTCTGCAATTTCTAAATTTTCCCAAAAAGATTTGAAATGAAAAGTGTTGTTAAAAAGAAGACTCAAAGGAATACTTGGAGATTTGGGGAGTAAAAGAGATTATTTTTTATTTTCTATATGAAACAGTTTGATGTGATTATTGCCATCACACATGTCAGTGTAATTGTGTCGCTTAACCAGCAGCCAGTTAGCTTAGCTTGGCACAAAGACTGGAAACAGTCTAGCTGTTTGGAGTAATTAAATGTCCTCCCATTCCTAAACATTGCTTAACAACATTATTAATAGATGAAAATAACACACATTAAACTACATAAGGGTTTTTTGACCTCCTAGAAAATGCAAGGCTAGCTGTTTCCAGCTTCTAGGCTAATTTGAGCTAGCCACTGCTAGCTCTACATATTTAAGCTACGTATTTTAGAGTGGTGTCAATCTTCACTTCACCCTCTCAACAAGAAATCAAATAGTACAATTTACATCACTTATTTAAAGCTTCTGTGAGGAACTTTTGGATTGTGTCCCATTGTTGTGCCCCCTGTAGACTCCTTACTGATGAATGTGTTGTGTATGTGCAGTGTTTGTTTTAACCAAAAGCCTCGTCCTGTTTTCTTTTAATAGTCAAATATCACTTATTAAGAAAAACAAAAAAGGGCCGTCCCTGCACTATGTGTAGTGGGCAGATCATCTTATAAGTTATTGGCATTAAAAAAATAGCTTACAATATAGAAACAGTCAATGTTTTTGCTGATGATCATGTTTGCAAAAAGCATCACTAACAATTTTTGTCTGTTTCATACACAACTTAAAATTCCTGGCAGGGGCTTAGATGTTCTCGTAGATAAAAGCAGAAATGTTTCCTTTACAAAAACAAAAATAATCACACTAAAATAAAAAATTTCAAAGAAAGGAGTTTGAATGAAATAAAACAAAATGTAGTGTTGAAGAATTTAAAAGTAGAGTGATTCTTTGATAGGCAGGAGCGCATAGTTCAATAGGCAGTCTTTACAAACAGTAAACATTAAAACATTAAATAAAAGCGAACGAGGTTCTGAGTTACTTCTACTGTATGTCCAGCATATCTTTGGTCCCTCTTCAGCTCGTTATCTTTGGATCGTCTGTTTTCTCTTCAAAATACAGGGTTGACAAACTGGTAGACCAGTCTGCGTGATACAGCCGGCTTTCTTATGATGCCTTTCTTGTAGTACTGGCGTATGGAGCGACTCAGTTTGTCGTAGTTCATAGCAGGGCGGTTCTTCCTGATGCCCCATAGCCTGGCCACATGAGCTGAGTCCTCAATTTTGAAAATCCCTTTGAACAGAAGAAAAAAACAACACTTCAGAAACTCCAATTCCACTTGTATGATAGGTTTTTTAATTAATGCTAACCGCCAGTAGCCTAGGCTAAAATGGTATCACATGGATATCTAGGCAGGTACAATCATGTTCTCCATCTTGGTTTAGCGCGATTGCATGCTATTGTCGTGAAACTGGTGTTAAACGTCAAGTGCAGTTGAGGTAAATGTGGACGTATTAATTTGGGCTTTATTGTTAAAATATGCTAATTAGCATTCAACATAAAGTGTAGTTAAGGCTAATGGGAATGTTATTAGTTGTGCAGATGTCTCGAACTAAAGTATTGGGGTAAAAAGATGAGATAAAGTTGTCAATTTTAACCTCGATAGTAACCATGTCTACCACGTTTCACTGCAATTTATCCAAATGTTTTCGGCACTTCTCTTAAAACAGCAAATGTTATCTTCATGGTGGTGCTAAAAAAAAGTCACTCAAACATTTGTAGAATGTGTCAACCATGTTTTTGTAATGCTAATCTTATAGTTAATCTTAAAGGTCCGTTTTTAAACTTTTGTTCAGTGAGCAAGCTAGTAAGGGGTAATATTCAGGGAGAGGCCCAGATGTGTTTTTTAGAGGTAGTTGGAGAATGGCTGTCATTTACTCACTAACTTTTAATTGCTGGTGTAATGTTCTTGAATAGTTTTTACATTTTGCGTAGGTCAATTAGCTTTCTTGACAAGGTTGAATAAGAACATTGATACCATTGATATATGCTAGTTATTAAGCTACAGTCAAGAGTTGGTTAACCTTGGTTGACATAAGACCTGAGAACAAGTTGTACATTCTTGAGGGGTTGTGTGGTGTAGTCATTTTTGGAAAGGCACTGTGACTTCATGAGATGAGTTAAGGCCTGTAAATTAGTATTATGTAATCAGTTATTTAGATAGATAGATAGATAGATAGAGCTTTATTAATCCCTTGGGAAGGTTCCCTCAGGAAATTATCACTGTTGTATTATCGAATGCCTTTGCTCACAGTTTTTCCATGACTTTCTGTAGTTTTACCTTTCTCCTTGTTGAGCCAGCGGATGCAGCGGCTGTAGTTATGAGGCTTGAGCAGCAACTCTCGGAGGAACTGCCAAAGGTGTATGGGCTGGTTTGGATAGTTACTGATCACTTCTGACCAGGAATCATCATCAGCTGCTGAAATAGGAGAGAATTTCCGAAACCAGCGGTTAAACATTTACTGCTAACCTTGTTTTCTTCTGCATTTTGTTCAGTAAAACAGATGGAAATCTAGGTATAGCCAATAACTTACCAGATTTGTCATCTTCTTTTGGGCAGCGCGCCTTCATTGCTGCAGCTAAATAAACAGACAAAAATAGAAGTTTACCCCACACAGAAACTTCAAGCCAAGTCTTAAATTTCCTCTTAGTCACATTAAATTTGCTTCACAATCAGTGTGAATGTGTGAAAGTGTTGATGCCATTAAGGTTCATTAGACAGTGTTTCTCTTGTTCTTACTTGATCTCCAGATGTCCAGATGTGCATACAGCATGTCCCCAAACTGTGAGGAGCGTAGTCTGAAGTCTGCTTCTGTCATGTAGCACAGCTCCCTCCCAGTAAGCTCCTGAAACATGATGCTGACCTGTGGCAGCCTGTGCAAGTGCTCTGTCCAGAGTAGCCACTTTTGAACATGTACACAGCTCCAGTCCAACGGGTCTAAAATGGAAAACACAGAAAAGACACATCTCAACTCACTTTCATTTTGGATCCAGTGTTTCTGGAACATAATCTTTACTATGGACAAATTTGGATTTCCCGCTTCTGTTGCAAGGTTAAGCTTTTTAAAGTACAATACTTCACTCTGTAAGATTAAATGAAGGAACAAAATGAGTTTGACAAGCTGTGCAAGCTGTTAAACTGATATCAATCTGAACAAGGATATGTGATTCAATCTTATTTAACTGTTTGACCTTTATATATCTATTAGGCCTATATTAACAAACAAGAACAAATATTCAGGCTTTATTAAGAGCCCTATATGAAATGTAGGATCTAGGGAGAAAAAGTGCTGCAGTCATTCTGATATTTTCTTTAAAAAAAACTCTCCCTACAGTCTGTAATCAAAATAAAGTCAAACTTAATGACTGACTTCCTCATTTACACTTTGAAATAAGATGCAACAAGTATTATGAGCCACTAAGAATGTGTCTCCTACTTTGGACTCAGGTAAGAAGCCTGCAGTAACAAAGCAGACATTCTCGCACACAGTGTCTTTATGATTTCACGGCTCCAGAATCAGGTGTCAAAGAGAAGATGAGCTTTCAACAGAAGTGTTTGCACAAGGAAGGCAGGGCCCTCGATGCTCACCGGTTATCAGTTGTGCCACTGTGTGGATGTTGACATAAGAGCAAACAAATAAATGATCGCTTTTTAAGTTTCAGGTTTAAGGTTTTTTAGACTTCTGCCAACACTTTTTTTGCCACAGGTTTTCTTTTTTATTGTCTGTTTTTTTTTCCTGTTTTTTTTCTACCTGGTGCGATGTTGAGAAGTTTGCATGCCGTGTCGACATCCTTCAGCACTTCTCCCACCACCATGGTCTGGACCTGCTCCAGGCAGCGCTCTTCCACCTGGCCCTCCATCTCAGAGGGGGGTCCCGGGACCTCGCTGGGCTTGGCTGAGTTCATCTCCGGAGACCTGGATGGAGGAGCAGTAACAGAAGCAGGGGCTTCTGTCATTTTCAGGATCCAAGGGTTTTCCTCCATATATAATCTGTCACAGTAGGGGAGGTAGACCCCTGGCAAGCTGAGCTCAGGAAGCCCCAACAAGCTGCGTGGGGGTTTGATGTCCTCCCCGTCATCCAGCCATGCCGTCCTGGTTTCAGTGTGTGGGTGGCTGATGTAAAGAGGTGAGTGTGAGGTGAAGCCTGTGTGTTCACAGCCTGGACTCCCCATGCTCAAGTTGGTTTCACGCTGCAAGAAGAAAGCAATACATCAAGTCATCACAGCCTGCATGACATTTTCAGCAGAGGTATGACTGAACCAATACCCAAATGCCCAATATTTAAACAGTAAGCTATCCCAAAGTAAACTTGACATTTGTTCCATGGTATTTACTTTGCTGGGACTTACTTTGAAATAAGGAAATCCATCAACTGGAGCCTTTGTCACTGTGATGTTTATCGAAACCATTGTTTTTCTTTCAATTACTTGTAATGTCACTTCAAACTAAAACTATTTGCAAATCTTTAAGAATAAATTTGGGGTTCAGCCTGGGTGAAACTCGAACCTTAACTACCATTATTGTTTCAGCATGTTTTAACAACATCAGAAGGCAAACTACTCCACCTTTTTCTTCAACACGGATAAAGCAAGGAAGACTGAGGTACAAACGAAAGTGTTTGTCAGTGAAGATTTTCTTTTAAACACAAGTGAGCAGGGTAAAAAGGTTTGATCACAATGCAACACAGGGCCTTTTAAAGCATCTCATTTGTCTTTAAAAAGAGGGATCACAAGAAATAGAAAGAAAGTTTGATAAAGTAAGATATAAGGATGGGGACAACTTTGATACGTGGATAAATAAGAAGTACAGGGGGAGAGTATTTATCATGACATAAGAGCTCACCAGGCTATGGGGCTTTCTGTGCGTATTTCATTTGACTAAATACTTCACCTGTATTCAATATGAAGGCCTAAAAACTGGTATGAATCTATTTAATAAAAAACATTGTTTCATCAGGTTAGCCCGCTTTATGTCCGCTGATTCTCTGAGCGCTGCAGCTGACAGTATGAGAGTGTGAGGATTTGTACAAATAACTATGAGAAGAAGATCAGTGTGATCACCGCCCTTTAAACATTTCCAAAACAAAGACACATGGTGCAAGCTGTTTCGAGAAGTAACAGGGCAAAAACTGGACTCCAGCAATATAACCAATAAGTGAGACAGTTGTGTTTGCAACTTTCCTGCTCTGAGAAGGATCTTTACACATGTCCACATTCTGAAAGAAAACACTCCTGTGGCTGTCTAGTCTGGGCACATGGTCCAGGTCTCTCCTATTATTTCCACGCCCCCCAGGAGTTAGCAGTTTAAATGCTGAGCAGCAGTAATAAAAAAAAAAACTTGCTCTTCTAGATGATCTCCTTCCTTAGGACTAATGTCTTCTCTGCGTGTGTGATCTCTTCTGCTCAAGTGAAAGCAGCATGCTCATGTAAATATGTCTTGTGCCTCTAGACTTGTTGTTAACACCTTGTTAGATAGCAACTACTCTGATATGAGAGGCATTTTGGAGCTATGAAAAGCTACAGTCCTTTATCGCTGCCTTTTTTCTTCCATTCTTTGGACAAAAGTACATTTATTTGATATTTTGATATATAGTGATATAATTCACTTATTATAGTAATATCACATCAGTGTATGCGACAGTGAGGGAAAAATAATCATAGAGATCATGACAGTTTCAGATAGCGCTGGATAACAACTTAACAACTTTTTTAGAGTCCAATCCCAAAGCAGCTTTTTCTTGTCTCAGCTAGTTTTCATTGATTTTCCATAATTTAGCCTTAAGAATACACAACAGCAAACACTTCAATACATAGGCCGAAAAAACAGAACAGGTGACAATCTATATACACACAATGCTACATGCAAATGATCATAAAACTCAATGACAGGATCCAGAGTCATTCACTGAATATTCTCGCTTTGCAAACTTCCTCCACATTGTGTTCCCCCTAACTGTCAGAACGAGGTATTACACAAAGGCACCGCCAACACATTACCACTTTCACTCATGTACAGTACCTGATACTGCTTCCTCTACTGGTAAGTGACTTTTTAAAAGCCTTAGTCGCAAGTATAATATTTTGTTAGCAGTAACAGCAGTATAGGAACTCTGTTAGCCTGTAGAAGTTTAGTGACAGAGGCCTCTGCAGTCTTACCTTGTCAGTTCACAATGCTGATGCTCCCCCTCCTCAACTGTTCCTCTGTCTCAGTTGGTGCTGACAAATGTCAGGGGTCTTCTTTAACTGGGCTGCCCTCAGGTGAGGAGGATGTGTTTGTAGTTTGTGTCTCCAACTGGAACTCGGATCTGGGTCACTTCTGTCCACTCTGAGACGACTTGCTTTACTCGTGGTCCGAGCAGCAAAGACTATAACTTATTTGACTAGCAGTGCCTTTATGACTTATCAATTCTGAGAGACAGGGTGTGTCTCTAATGTAGGAGGCTGTTCTAAGCGCCTACTTAAGAATGACTTGGGGCAGTATCCATATAGAGAGCTCCTTAAGTAAACAAAGCAGGTGAGTCTTAACAGCCCTGAGGGGTGAAGCTGTGAGTTTTAACTTTATACAATTGTCTCAAGAATTGCAGCTTCTACAGGTGATATTCAGATTCTGTTTGTAGTACTAATCTACAGTATGAAATGTTTCCTCACTTCAGAAAATGTTGAGTTTAACTTAAACAAGCCAGTTACTAAAAAAAAACACTCACTGTTATGTCATGTTGGATCATAGTTTGAGTATAAGCAGCTTGCTCGTCAAGTTTGAGTGAATTTCTAAGGGAGAATGCTTCCAAATATCTTTAATAAGCTGTCACAGCTGAGCCTGTAGAAGACATGATCTATAAAACCTAAATGATTCGATTGAAAGGAACACACTGGGGCTAACTTTACTTGCTAATATCTCCACATGTGATTGTTTTCAGTTTGAACTTGCCACAAATGCTGGCTTTGTAAGGATATGTGGGGATCTCTGGAGGACACATGAAATATCTATAAATCATCCACGGGAAAAAATGAGAGATAAGGGTTGAGTTGCTCTGAAAGGTCAAGAAACTATAAATGGAAAAGTTGAAGAACTGGTACACAGAGCGAGTACAGGAGTCAAAGAGAGGGAAAAGAAAGCAAGAGTGTGTAAATGTTTGCTTAAACCTAACAGTAATGTTTGTGCGGTTGTGTTGAAATATTCTAAAGAGCTCCCTGCTGCCTCTGAATCACCCACACAAACACGTCTTCTTCAAGGCCTTTTTTTTTTTTATAGACTTACAACTGAACAGGTCGAACATTTCCACAAAATGAGCATCAGAGGCGAGGAACTGCTGCTAGAAGAAGATGAAAAAAAACCAGCAACTACTTTGTGTAACTGAAGCTTTTTTAGGCCTTTACAGTGAGTCATTAAGAAGCTAATCTTCACCCACTCTTCTACCTTAATATTGCTCCTGTGCCTGGCTGTGAAACATTCAACATTCAGCCTAAACATGTCAAGTGAGAGTTGCTCCCTCAGGCACTTTGGCTTTGCAGACTGCTGCTGCTGGACAGAGCCGTTTGGCAGACACAGAAGGCTCTAGATGACGGGGGCTCCTTAGACCAGTAACGCTCCAGGCTTCTGTGTAATCTCACACCTCTCAAATGATCAAGAACTGGTCATGGTCTGTCTCAAGTTTGAGCTGCAGCTAATTTTACCTTAATAACAAACGTTGCTCTCACTGGCTACTTTTCCAGGGAACCAGAATCTTTGCATTCGTCTTTGCTTACCGTTGGGGATTTTGTTTGCAGCTCCTAACCTTGTCTTGATTTTTGACCAGAAAAAGACGTCAAGAAGGACACACTTATTGCGCACCAAGCACTGCACATTAATTCTGCAAAATAACGCATTTAAATAAACATCTGTCTTTTCATATGTTTTTTTTTTTAAGCCCAGCTATAGTTCTGATACCCTGACCATGCCTCTAAATTCTCCTACTACACAAAATGCAATAAGTCAAAGCAGTTATGATACAAGTAAAACTACTTCATGTCACTGACCATTACATAATAACTTGAATTTAAAGGCACTGATGACTGAGAAGACTACACATCCCTACATCTTAAGAGTGGTTCAAAATAATAAAAAAAAATAGGATAAGCATAACTGAAGGACCCCGTAGCACAAACAATGACACATGTTGAGTTTTCTGTGATAATTTATTAATACAAACATTCATCAAACACACAAGGGGGGAAAAAAAGCTTTCATCTGTTTGCACTTCCTCACTCTCATAAATGTGCTGTTGTATGAGTCCAATGCCAACTGATTCATTCTGCAATCTGGCCGGTGGAAACTTCAGAGGAACTACACTGAGAACAAAACACTTTTTTTGCACTTGATGAATTGACACTGACGGCATAGAGAAACACGCATCATCATCATCATCACCAGCTCGCACAGGAAATGTTAAATGAAACACAATGTAGCCCAGAGATTCACTCCACATGCTGTATCATTTACTGGCTGGTATTGTCAAAGCGAAGTGACCCTGGGGCTAACAGTTAGCGCCTGAATGAAACCGTTATTTACCTGACAAGGTGGTCTAACTCAGAGCCTCAGATAAAATCACAGAGGTGATAAACCCTTCAGGACTTAACTGTACCTGTCGAGGAGTAAAGTACGCACGGGCCTCATCGTGGAGGTCGCATTACTCTTACTCAGTGCATAGATCAGCCAGTTAGTGCAAGTTAATATGCAGTGATGTGATTCAGTCTTTTTCATTTGATCTAAACTTGTGTTGTTGAAGTTTGCATCTTAAATGATCAAATATGATTCAAGGTTGACATGCTGAAGAAGCTCATCAATGATTCATGAGAACATTTGCAGGACTCAAATGTGACAGACAGGAGAAGTCAGAACAATAATGACACCAATAAAAAAATGTTCCTTGAAAATATACAACGTCAAATCTTTGGGAAAATTAATACATTTCCAAATACATTATCCTCTAATACATTCATCGAATACATTCAACTTAATATGATGAAAGTCCAAGACAGCTTTAGGATGACAATTTAGATTTTTAAATATAAAGTTATTACTCTACTGCCGCTCATATGGCATGCAGAAAATGTCTGATGGCATATTGTGCATCAATCCTTTTATTTTGTATGTTTTATTTGAATGAAGGCATGTAAAGAGAAGCAAAATCTTAAATTCTAAAAATGACTGAGTAAATCTCTAACACTTCCTTATACCTTTTATAGTATTCTGCTTATATTTTATTATAACTTCATAGATGTGTTTATTCCAAGTACCAGCAATGACTCTTTTTCATTCATGGGAAGAAACCTCCAGCGACCCACAAGATTTTTTTTTTTTTTGTAGCTTACGTGGTAAACCATTTCATTGTAGTTTGTTTTGTTACTTCCTTTTATAGAATTCAGCTTTAGATAAAATACTTCTTGAATACAGATGTCCAAACATCTAGTTTGTAAGAGTAGTGGTCGACTCCCTCCAGTGGACAAAAATGACATTGTTTCTAAATGTATCTAAATGTGCACACACTCTAACAGCATTAAAAACTATTGCCCTAATTACACAACTCATTGTGTAAAATTGACATCCTTTAAATGACCTTCAGAAATACTTCCTGGGGATTTTTCTGTTCCCTCTTTTTTTCTTTTATAATGAATTCAAAATTAAGATAAAAAGTAAATTATTAAATCTAATCTCATGTTTTTGAAGATGCCCGATTGATGCACAAAGAGTCAGAGCAGAAACCGGAGAATCAGTTGGCAAAATAAATGGCTTTTCCTCCAAAATCTATCTTTCCAGTTGCACACACACATGAACACACAATTTTACAAATACTCACTCCTGTCAATGTTTCATTTGCACTCTGACAACTAAAAAAAAAATCAGAAACAAAGAAAAGAAAAAAGAAAAAAGAAAAAAAGTAGTCACTCAAAGGACTCATAGCACTCAGTTTTAACTTAGCATTCACGCGTGCATACAGTGGCTTGTGGGATGTTGGTTGAGCTGCACGTCAGGAGCGTTGGCCTCTGGTTTATCAGGAAGAGGAAAAAAAAAGTGTGGCTGGACTTTGCATAAAGTGTTTTTGAATCTCCACACTTTCTGTCAGATGGATAAAGCCTCTTCTTTCTCTTATTGGTGTGACAGACTCCAGAGGTATGATTCAGTGCTGCTTCACTGTGACAAGTCCCATGATTTAAGAGTGCCCAAAAGGATAGGGCTCCTGTATACCCTGAAAGAAAAACAAGATAGAAGGGCTGCAACTTCAGTAGGAATATGACTCAAATGAGAAAAAAGACTTATAAGCATGCAGGTATACCCGGCCTCTGTTAAACAAATTATAAACTGTGAATTATCTGATGATTGGTTTTGTCATTTTTCAAGATAAAATAACACAAATAGAGTTTCAGGTCTACTTCAGTGAAAGTGACCCTGACTATCTTTGGATTATAGACTATCAGAAAAACAGTGCATTTGAACTTCTAGCCTCTTCCTTGGACTGAAGGGATTTGTTGGAAGTTAATTGTGACAAGTTTGGTAATACTTTTTATACATTACATTTTATATAACACAATCATTGTGTAATAAATGTGACCTCTCAGGGAGCTGGTTTAGTCCGGTAGAGCCTGCGCCCCATGTACTAAGGCTACAGTCCTGGGGTGCCAGATAGCCTAGAGGTTATGTCGCGTCCCATGTACAGAACCGACCTCGCCCATTGGTGCCTGTCATCCTGCACTCCCAACATTTCCTGTCTATCATCTGCTTTCTTAAATAATAAAGGCAAAAAAATGCCCCCAAAATGTACGTATATATATGGAAAAAAGGCTACAGTCCTCGTCACACTGGTTGCAGGTTTGGTTCCAAATCCAGACACTTTTTAGTGCAAGTCATTCCCCTTCTCTCTCCCAATATTTCCTGTCACTCTACATCTGTCCTATCCCATCCCCAAGGCCAAAAGACATTAAAAAAAAACATCCTCTCTATTTGTACTCATGTTTTTTTGAAAGAACAAATAACTCTTAAATTGTCAATGCTAGAAATGAAATTTTCTTCAACTCAACTCTGAATGAGTTTTTTTAAAAAGACGGAGTACAAGCACCCACTAATGTATCGGTTGCTCTGTAACGTCAGCCCTGAGCAACGTTTTCTGTAGACAGTTACATGGAAATAACTCTTAATATGCTCTAAGGGTACAACCATGTCAGATTAGGTTGGTTCGATCAGTTTTAAGTTGTTTAGGAGACAGAAACAAAGGACAGATGGATAGGGTTTGAGAAGAAATGAAGCCTGACTATGATTCACTTTCTTGGTCCGTGTTCTTTGAAATGTCTTACCTGGTTATAAGAGACTACTGATAAATTGCTTTGTAGACTGTTCGCTACTATATCCACAGAGTTGTGTGAGAGTCCGTTCTGATCCTGCTGCAGCTCGTTGCCCTTTCCCTGCCAATGTTCCTCTGCGACCATGTGACCGCTGGCATCATGGAAGCTGTTGTTATTGCTGTTGGGGCACTTCTCTGGCGAGGCAAAGGGGTTGTAGTCTCCTTCCAGGCTGCGGTGAGGCTGGGTGTTGAACTCGGCTTGAAAAGAGGAAAGCTGCTGTGTGACGCCGAGAAGGCCTCCCACCTCCACACTCAGGATCACCCAAATGACGTCTGTCGAAGAAACAAACGGAATGTCATGAGCACATTCATCTAACCAGGAGAAACTCACTCACATTAAAATTCTATTTTTCAAGAGAGTCCTCTGGTCAAGACAGGACTTTAGCATAGTTAACATATGTATGTGACAAACAATAAATGATTCCTAAAATACATGTAAAGGCCACAATGACAAATACATCAGGAAGAACATGTACAGTCAGATGTTCCTGCTTTCAAGTTATTCCAAATCACCTTAAAAGCATCCAGTAAGACCAGTTTCTTAACTTCCCTGTCTTTTTGTTATTCATTCCAAGTAAAAAGAGCTGCAAACTTAAAAGCCTGTTCCCCCAGTTCAGATCTGACGTTCAGATCTTGTACTCTTCTTCTGACTGATGTTGGTTTGAAAGTACCAAGGAGGGACACCCAAAATACACTTGTTATTAAGAATGCGCCACAGACGCGCCGCTCTGTGCCTGTTTACCAAATACACAGTCAGCCCCCAGAAAAGACCCCCTTGAGGCTGGAGCAGCGTCAGCTTGTGTAGGGTGGATAGTTAATTAAGAACAAGGAGTAAGGGGTTTAAGAATGTTTTGTAAGAAAATAAAAATACTGATTATATTTCAAGTGCACTGTGTACCCTGGGCTATGTCAGTCAAGAATAGTACATTTAAAAACAAGAATATGTCAGTGCTTTAATCTGCACGTTGACAAGGCAGACCATCCAACGTGCGCATACAGCCGACTGTGATGACTGGGGGCTTCAAAATAAGTGATGAACCTCAGTGCTACCATGATGCACACACAGTGTCAAGAGCATGTAAGCCTTCAGAAGACGCACGCATTTATAAAACATCACCAGAGTCCAGCACAGACACTAAAGTGGCAGCAACCAGTCCCCTTTTTGGACTTGAAAGAAAGGCAATACTACCAATCTGCAATAAAACCAAAGGGAAATTGAAGGTGTAATGTGGGGAATCATCCAATGAACACCTACATCAAATATTAACGACAAGTATAAATTTTCATTGAGTTAGTCTCTGTTGCTTAATTCCTAAGTAGGAGAGTCTTAAGGAAATTCCTTTTGGGATCCATCATCCAGATGGAACCTGCAGTAGGGCATTCATCAAAGAAATAAATGACTAGCTTCCATTTGTGAGCGCTAATAGAATGACTAGCTAATCTTTGAGTGGATTTAACTGAGATAAATAATGATCTAGCACTTCATCTTCAGAAGAGGGGCCTCACTACTGCTAACCATTGTATTAGCATTGGTGGGTCAATTGTTGAAGCCATTATCCATCAATGACGGCTGACAACAATAGAGCACTATTGAAAGATCTAAATCCCTCTCTGCTTTGCCGTGTTGAATAACCACCACTTTCCGTTTGATGTCATTAAGAATTAAATAAGCACTGTGTATCTTAAACGTCACTTTAAACATGGATTAAGCCTCAAGGCCTTTTTTCAAGTGCCACCTTGAGTTTGTTGGGAATTGATTTAACACGTCTTTCTACAGCAAGCAGGTGATCTCTAACGAACAGAGCGCGGGATACAGATATAGAAGATGTGCTGCAGGGGGGGATGAGAGTGTCTTTGTCAAAGAAACTTACTGTATGTATCAAACTTGGCAGAATTGGCACCAGAGAGAGCACCTTTTGAAACAAGTAGTCCGCCACTCTCTCTCTTCGCTGATGCACAGAAACTATCTGATGACAGCCCTCTGGGTAGTTCGCCTCGACTCATTGGTTTAAAGTAATTGGAATATTATTTCATTGGACCACTTATAAATGTATTATTCTCTTGAAAAAATAGGCTATAGAGAGCAAGGATTAAATTCAGACTGTAAAGGATGCATGCTTGCCTTGGTATCACTGTCAAGATTATGATATTTATTATACTGATGTTATACTAAAGGTCCAAATGGAGCAAAACCCACTGCAACATTTCTGCCACAATTTCTTTCCTCCTTAGTCATTGTTCTGTTAACACTTAATTATAGCAGTAGTGTGCTTATTTGCTCACCATTATGATAATGCTAATGGCAATAATAACAGTTTGCTCAAGGTTAGTTTAAGAAACATAGGCTAGAGTTTATTACCTATTGTTTACAATAATAAAAATAAATCCTCTATGATAACATTTAACACTAGATATCATCATTTGAAAGTTTGGTCGACGCTGCTGAAGCCTCATTTGCATATTAGCAGTACGATTGACTCTCCTCATTGTCTATTTATTAAATATGCACGTTTACTCTATCATTATCACTGATGTCTACATAATTACACATTTTTATCCACAAATATTAGCTTTAGACAACCATGACCTTAGCACTGCTGAACCTTAGGAGACATGCAACAGAATAATACTCTGAAGCTCAGTGTTTGGGATACAACTACTCATTATTAAAAAGCTGACGAGATAGCTTTCTGCACAAAAGCCTAAAAGCAGAAGAAAATATATATATGTAAAGCAGATTTAAAATCCCATTTTTGTATTTATTTGAGAAGCAGGAACCCCAAATGCTTGGATTTTTTTATCTTGTCGATGTGTTCTTGAACATGAAAAGTTTGTTTGCGGTCCTTACCTCCGTAGTAAAGTCCGGTAGCCGTGCACATTCTCCACTGGCCCTGGTACATGCCCGGAGACACTGGACTCTGCATTTGCACACTAACATCAACCATCTCCTGCGGGTCTAGAGACCGCACCATCACCATGTTTACATGACCAAACTGATCTCCTCCGACATACTTCAGACAAACCCCAGGAGGCCACGACTCTGCACCTGGAAGAGACACAAACAAACGTGGGATTGTAATTATTTCTTAAAGTGTGTGTGTGTGTGTGTGTGTGTGTGTGTGTGGGGGGGGGGGTCTTTTATCAGCTCTAGTCCTCTACTTCAGCAGACCTACCTGTGTTCTGTACCCTCCAGGTCTTTGTGAAAGGTGTGTCCGGTGGTACTGATTCACCTTCCCCAATCGTCACATCCTTCACTAGGGACATGCATGGTGCACTGATGTTGGGACTCTCAAAGTCATAGTAGGCTCCGATTGCTGCTTGTAAATTCCTGAGACAGCAGAAGACAGAAATCCAAGTGATCAGTACAGATTCAATTTAGTGTCGTTACATTTTTATATGGTAACCCCTTGATTATAAATGAGTTTGCACAGAAAGTCCCATCCCATTTTCTATCTGTCTTCTACTAACTAGGATGGAGTTCGATCAACTTTTTTTTTATCAAGATTAAATATAAATTGTTTTCTCTAGCATTACATAACATATGTAGGGTTGTCATGAAATGTGTTATTTCCTCAGCAAGACAGAGGCTGTAGTTATCAAAAGTTTAAAAAATAATGAAAACACATTTAACTCAAAATGTAGAAACCTCAGGATTAACTCTGACAAGATCAACAAGAATCATGGTGTTGTTCATGTGTACTAAGTGAGAAATCCCCTACAATGACATCATTTCCCAGTATTTCAGTGGCAAACGTCTGAGATAACTGTAAATCTAGAGAGATACTGCCAATGGGTTTTCCCTGTGACATGCTGTTCATCCATAAACCAGCAGCTTTATTTTTAGAAAGCCAGTTGCAGTGCAGCTATTACACCACGTCACGTGACATTACTACAGGCTGCACTGCCCACAAACGCACACGTCTCTTTAATCTTCCAAAGTCCTGCACTGGCTTAATACTACATATCCGCAGGAAACATATCAGAAGGAAAATGTCCCCGCCCCTTATACCGCTGTTTTCGTCTTGATTCCTTTCTGTGATGCCAGGTCCGCTTGTTATAAGCGACTTTGGGCTTGTTTTTTCTGTAAAGTCGCTTGCTAATATCGTCAGTCGCGGGTTGCAGGTTTTTGGGCTTGTTTTCTAAAGTGCAGATGCTTGTTTGGGCTTGCTTTGCTCCCTGTATGAACCCCTACTGATTCTCTCCAACACACATACACACGCACAACTACATCTGACAGAGCGACAATGCCTGGGAATAAGGGAAATATGGAAAAAAATATAATAAAGAGTGGGAGAAAGAGATCTGACCTTAATACAGCATGCTGATGATGCTGGCACCCAAAAGCACAAAAAACTTTTTTCAAATCAAAATGAGACAATATATATATATATATATATATATGTCTCATTTTGATTTGAAAAATACTATATTGCTCTATACTGCTATCAAGTGGCTTCTCTTTTACACTATGTGGTAGGTTAGGTAACCTGTTTGGCTTCATTTTATTTATTTGAGGAGCCAGGTCTCTTGTTTTGGGCTTGTTTCCATAGAGCTAGTTGCTTGTTTCTCTCGCGAGATCTGGCAACACTGATTCCTTTTATTTCACAGTCTGTGCCTGATTCACGAAGTCGCGTTTTTTTAAAAACAGGAAAAAAAAACAGTTTAAGAAAAAGAGTCAGTAGGCTTTGTAAAAAATAAAAAATAAATAAAAAATAAAAAAAGTACATTTTGTCCATTCACAGAAAGGCAAACACTCACTACGCTTACACAACTCCTGCGTGAGCTTTGAGCTCTGCAAACTTTACGTGGGGAGGTTACGTCATGAACAGTTGCTGTGGCTGTGGTCAAGGAGAGACCGACATAACGTCACTGTTGGCGATAATGGAGACGTGAGGGTTGTTTTTTAATGTCCTAACATAAAAACTAAAACGAGAAGCACTTATAAAACTACAAGACAGTCGTTATAAACTGTCAGTTCTGTGGTTATCTACACGGTAGTAACTCGTTTACTGTGAAAGTCCTGAACGCACAGCCCAAAGAAACCTCGACAAAGCCTCCCGAGGCAACACTTAAATGAACATATATTTACACAACATTCCTCCTGAGATACAAAACTTGAGATTTAACTACTGTTTATTAATATTTCGGAGCATGTATTCAGGTGAAACAGTCGCTAAGCTGCCTTCATGCGCCCCTGACAAGACGATCAAAAAAGTCGCAGGCTATTTACGGTGACTCAGCTAACGCTAGTTACGTTACTACAGCGTCGTTACCACGCTAACGTAAACGCTCTCACTCTGAATCACAATAAAGGAGAAACCCATGCTTTTCTAACCGTATAATCGTGTAAAGAGGGTACCGACAGGTGGGGAGAAAAAAAGGGCTAGGGTACAGTTTCGCTATCTAAAGCACCGAGAGGAGGCCAAGACGAGTCACCGAGCTCACCAGTTGGTCATGTCCAGAAAGAAGGCGCATCCAGCGGGGTTCAGCTGAAACCCAAGAAGCCTTTGAAATTCCGATATTAAGATGTCTTTGTCTGTTGTACCCATGCAGCTGAATTTCTGCATGAGCTCCTGGTCCAGGTCCAGGTCCATGCCCTCCATCGCGGAATCGCCTGGACAAAAACACAGGGGGGGCTACACTCCTAATTTAGTCCGAGGCCTCGACTTGTCATAACAAACTCAACAACAGGGCCGAGTGCGCATGTCACATGATTGTACTCTGCGCCTCAGCCAATGAGCGTCGGCTTGGTCTGTTCGAGAAACAAAATAAAGCACTTTTTTTTGGAAATATATATATATATATATTTTTTTTTTTTTACAGTCATTTATTATGGAAATATAATATGTTAGTAACTAAAAGTATCACCACCTATTTATTTTCTTACATAGATATAATATAAAATTATAAAAATCTATATCAAATCGATCAATAATCGTTTTAACTTTCACAGGCATGCCCTTTTGACCTTGACATTAGATTATAAATACAATTTCACTCCTCATAAATACTGTATCTGGAATAATAAGGATATGTTATACAATAGTAAATCAATGTTTTATCGCTCATGTCATGGTACGACAATGTTATTATGTTGGTTGTGCCAATTGATAAACAAAAGTGTTGTGTTACTGTCATATTCAGAACTTCTTTGGCATTTTAAGATACCAATCACACCTAAAGAATATGCTATTACTATGGATGCAATTCACATTGGTTCGTTTAAGTGTAAAAAAAAAAAGTTATCTTGTATCTTATAATCGGAAATTATAATATAGATTATAATATATTTAAATTATAAGGCTTGAGCTCTTTAGGAACTATTTTGGGTGGGCTTTATTTTATATGGAAATAGAACAGAATATAATTGCTTTATTGATCCCAAACTGGGAAATTGTGGCGTTACAGCAACAGGTTATCTAAACACACAATATGAGTAAAAAAACACAATGTTAGCCAATCTAAAAATAATATAATATTAAATACAAAGTAAATAAGTACTCAAAATAAAAATAAAAATGTGAATATATACAACCATGATAGGAAGATTAAATATGGAAGATGAAATGTAAATGTGCAAGAACAGAGTCATAAATGGTAGTAAATTAAATATGGAAGATTAAATGTAAATGTGCAAAAACAGAGTCATAAATGGTAGTAACCTCTCTGGTGTAGATCAAATTTTGGGGAATTTATTTTCATTGGTCACACATTTATTTAATTAGGCCTAAATAAGTAACACATTCAACACGTTTTTTTAACCAGAGCAGTGTTGTATTTTAATGTAAATTTAAAAAAAAAATGCTTGGTGATATTTTTCGCACTTCCGCCCGCAAGCTGGCTATCCCGCGAAACTCCAGAAGAGGGCGTCTTTGTGTCGTCGAAGCTGATCAGTTTAGCCCCTGTGTGTTCAAATTTAAATGTGTGTCTCTTCGTATGTATGTATGCATGTGTGTGTGTCGGTGTGTGTGTGTGTGAGAGAGTGAAACAGGGTCAGCGGCTGTTCGGTGGTTAGTGAGATAGCAGTTAGCCTGTGCTTGAGCCAGCGGCGTCTAAAAGATGCACACAGCTAGCGCTATGGACGATATAGGGGCGCCTGGAAGCTAGTATATAATTATTTAAGTGGGGGGAAAACGCACTAGCAGAGATGGCCGGGATTATTAAGAAACAAATATTGAAACATTTGTCAAGGTAAGTTGTCTTTTCTGGCGATGTGTGTTAGCAGATTAGCTCAGCTGAATGATGGTTTTAAACGTTAAAGGAGCAAACAGTAGTTCTGTTGTGTTTGAGCTACATTGATTTTGGTTACCATCCTGTAGCCTGACGCTAACATGTTTTAACAGTCTCAGGGACAGGGGCAGTGAACGCAGCACAACCCCCTAACCCCCCCTCCTCAATAATAACATTAACCTTTATTACTTTTTTTTTTCCATGTGAATGCATATGTGTGGTTAAAACTGGTGACTGTTACAGACGGACGTAGCTTTTTAAAAAGATGAGCCATTGGATTCTGTGGGCCGTAAACGTTGTTGAAAAAGCCCAAAATATCGCATCTTTAAGATTATCTGAAGAGTTGTCAGTTTACTCAAATCTATCTATCTTCTATGTTTGCTACAAAATGTTATCCACTAACAAGACAAAATCAACTTTTCTTAAGTATACAGTTTATTTAGGGTTGACAGCCCACTCCAGTGAAGTCTGAGCTTGTTCAGGTTTATTAACCTACTTTCTTTTTTTTCTTTTTTTTAAGGCAAAGCATAAAAATCAGCTTCTCTTTGTTTCACATCCTTTTATTTAAGCATCATTTCTTCTACCTTGCTAATTGTCTCCACATGAACAAATATTGGATTCAAGTCACCTTCAGCATCCTCTCCAGAGCTGGCTGCAGCATTTCCCCCTACAGTCGATCTGATTCCTCAGTATGTGATGCTGCTGCTCAGTCATGCCATATATCTGCTGTTTTTATTCTCTATTTTTTTATGTTTTAGTTTCAGAATGATCAGCATTTTCTGCAGCTGTCAGTTTGACACTGCCGAGAGCTGATGGGTAGAAGTGAAATGTTGATACTGTTCAAAAAGGCCTTTTGTGTTCTCATCGCTGCTGCTGTCTCTATCGCTGCACAATTTTCTGATAATGCTTTTTGCTCCACGTAGGAGAAAAGTGGACACATACTTGGTGAACAGACATGCAAGGATAGGCACGCAATACTTGTTAATGTTGTTGGATCATGCGTGTTCTTTTGGATGGAAATGGGCCTAGCAGTCCAGTCATCTCTTTAGTTATCTTGTTGTATACTGACAGAAATAAATCACTTCAAACTTTTACAGTTATTTTCATCGTTCTGTTTATGTTGTCAAGTCTTTCGCGTCACCATCTGATTTGGTGTGGAATAGACTATATAACAAACAAGACCAACACTTTTCCTGCCAGCAATGATACCCTGTTAAAAGGTAAATTCTTATAAGTGAACAGCTTGGTTCAAATAACTGAATTAAACTAAAATCTACACACAGTGCACTGCTACAACCTCTGTTGGTTCAAACCACAGACTGTATAAAGATTATTGTTTACAGTCTATGGTTCAAACCGACCACTGATTCATTTTGCATTGATTTTTATCGTTTAATTCTGAATCCAAACATTTATGGTTTCAGGAAAGCTTGCACAATGACTTCTTTCTTGATCCTGATAAGCTGTGAAAAGAGAATAAAGTGGAATGGCTATTCACTCTTAAGTGTAATTATTCTCAGCAATTATGCAGCAATGCCGCTTTTCTAAATGTTTGCGCCACAGTTGTTTGATTCGATGTTTTAATAATGAATGACAATAATTGGAAAGAAGAAAAACGCAGCTGTATTCAAACTCTAAATCTTGACAACATTGTATAGATGAATTAGAGCTGTTGAATATTTCCACATGTGAACTAGCTCTACACGCAATACTTTGCTTATACGAGGCCTTTTAACGGGTGTCATGGGTGCTGATATGAAATTTTAGCGCAAAGTAGTTTCCCCAAATGTTGGCACAATAGAAAAAAGTTATTTTTATATATAGTTATTTTTTTGCTCAGTGTCCGAAGGAAGCTTTTAAGCTCTGACTGGATTTTCAGGCTAATCAGTTTCAGCATGTTAGTAGGAACAGCTCTGTCATATGTTTTGAAGAAATGGGCCACGTTTACATGTACTAGTGTATTTAACATGATGTGAGACACATTCTGTAGCTCTCCAACATTCGTTTTTAGTCTGCTGCCTTTTCAACACTCCTCTTGGTTGTCTCTCTTGAAATGTTATGGGGATTTGCCTAAACAGCATTTAGTCATGTGATGTGTGTGAAATTAAAATACTTAACACATGGATTTGCTCTTATGGCTGCTATATTTACCCTATGTGGGATTGTAGCCTCGTTCTGGTTCCAGCAGCAGCGTCACTGAGGTGAGTTAAGATCGTAAGAGATGTGCGAGTCCAGAAAGGAAGCTGCTTCTGCCCCTGTTTCCTTTGATGACTCATTCAGCTGCACTACTTCTCGTCCAGGATGCATAATTGAATTTATTTCCTTGTTTCTGTTTCCAGATCATCAGTGACATAATTTACTGATGATGTCAGGTGTTTCCCTTGATAATGTTTAATGAGCCTCGGACTGATTTAAGATGTGAGTATTCACCATGAAAAGCTTTGTGTTCACTTTATGTTGTTATCCAGGTTCACGAAGAACCTGTCCCCGGACAAGATCAATCTAAGTACACTGAAGGGGGAGGGGCAGCTCTCCAACCTCGAGCTTGATGAAGAAGTTCTGCAAAACATGCTCGACCTGCCCACCTGGCTGGCTGTCACTCGGGTCTACTGCAACAGAGCCGCCATCAGGGTATGTAACTGACTAGTCAAACCCGATAGTGCACAGTAGCTGTTCTGACAGTTTGCCCTTTTCTGAATCTACAATTAAAAAAAAAAAAAAAAGTACAGCCGGTAAACAATCACTTTAGTAATTTTCAAACAACAAACACAGGTTATGTCGCTGGATACGTTGTTTTCCAAAGCATGGGGTCATAGATGAAATGAGAAGTGGCAGTAACAGAGAGATAAGCAGTGCTAGAGGCACCACTGAGGACGTTTTGATCCTTCAGACCGGCACTGGTTGTTGATAATAGAGAAGCGAGCAGTGATTCAGAGGGACACAAAAGGCCAGAGGCCAGAGTGATCCTGAGATAAACTGGCTGCTGTGCACTGAGCTGTCAGGGTGGCTGGTTTGTGTTCCCCGGATCATCTCTAAGTACTACATGTTTTGGAAAATTTTATTCGATTTCTATTGATGTAACTGAAGTGTGTTTATCACTTTATATAAATATTTTGAAAGGTTGTTTAAACAGGGAACATTGTCAAATAATGTAGGACAGCGTTGCTTATAATAATACATTTTTATTCATGACGTTTATTTAAAAAACATTCCTAGTAGAGCTTGATTCTAGGTGTTTTATGTGTTGTTATACCCATCTCCATGATCTTCAGCCTGACTGAGAGTGTCATAAATGTGGCATTCTCTTTTTGAACTGTATCATGTTGGTGAGGATTGTGGTGTTGCCACAAGAAACAAGCAGTGCTAACTCTAATAGCAACCGTTCAAAAAAAATATTCTCCTTTGCAGCTGCTTTCTTTGTGTTATTCACATTTTCTTGTTTCATTTTTTTAACATTTCTTTAAAAGA